AATCCTGACGCGTTTACGACTAGGGCCTTCCAGCCCTCAAACCGAACTGACGACGGGCGGCGAAGACGGAAGCAGCGAAGGTCCAAGAAGTCCAACAAGTAGGCGGACGTCTGACTGGAGATGAATGCCGGAGATTGCAACAAGAAGGGGAAGGACGATGGAAACGATAAGCGCGATGAACGAGTGTGCGAAAAGAATACACCGATGTTAAATATACTTCATGTGTTAACTCACTATATAATAAAGGGTAAATACCAGAATTGCATACAAGGTAAATAATATGGTTACCGGAAAACAGGTTTAAGTGATATTAGTGTGAACAGGCATTAGTGTGATATGGCAACTATGTTATGCTACTAGTGGACGTGCAACTAAAGGAAGCAAAAGATTAAAACCAGTCAATAACTAAACTGTGGTTATTGCATCGCTACGAACTTGGTTGTTGGCTAGCGGAAACCTTACCAATGATCAGGCATCCCGGCGTGTGTGAACATTCGAGGATTAGAAGTTAGACGATAAGCGGTGGCGGTACTCCTTGCGTGGCTTCATCGTGACAGTGATGTCGGAGTTTTGCAACCAACCGAGACGACGTGCGATCATGAACTAACACGTGGTTGGCGCCAAAGGGCATACACTTCTGCCTTCTAGAGGCTTCCGCACGATTCAAATATTAGCGCACCGCGGCCTCTCGCACCTTGTCCGTGGAGCAGCTTTGCTCGAGGCGTGAAAGTCACGACAAGGGAGAACCGTTTGTGGTTCTACCTTCGCCTCGTTCACTAGATCGGGAAATCATAGAAAATTCTCTTAGTGATGCTTTTGTATGTAGTCACTTCAAGGGAAGGGCGTTCCTCATTCAATGTCCCAGGCTGTGCGCGTTGTGGGTATCAATCGAAAAGATAACGGTATTGGATGGAAGGCTAACTCAGAGATTCAAGTCGTGTACACCTTGTGCCGAACGTGCTATAGCCTGATCAAGCTCATAAGTTGAGGGAGGTGAAAGCTCAGTAGATGCGAGTGATTGCAAGGAAGACCCATTGTTAGATGTGTAGGAGGACCAACGGACCGTATTCCATAGTTCTCAATAAAATTGTTGGCGAATACTCGTTACGTACCCTCACACCTGCCAAACACTGAGGAATTTCTTGGTCACCTGCATTGTAGGCTACAAGAAGACTGCATAGGAGAGTTCTCCCAAGTAACTGCGTCCTATACGAACGTATGAACCTCTCCAATCGTTTTCCGAAATGCTGAACGAGCACGAAACAGAAGTAAGTGATGACGTTCGTATTGAGCAGGGTTCACATTATGGCTCTAATTAAAGAATGCTTGAATTGTAGTATTTTCATGTGGATCGGGCAGTAATTCTCCTAAATACGAGGGTTGCTTGGGCACTTGTCTTAGCTATCTGTTTTATGAGTAGAATATAAAGGTCATAGCACGCATGCCCATTATGTACTATCGGTACATCGATGACTGCTGCAGCAAGAGATGTACGAACTGTTTGACATCCTGAACCGACAGTTGCAGTACATCGAGTTCACAAGATCAGTTCCGCACAAAAGCTTGCTTCCTCATCTTAACCCACAGATGAACATCTCGAGGTACAACGTGAAGTGGTGTCGGAGGGCTGCCTGAAGAAGGTTCTCTCCACGCAAAGTCTAGTCAGACTAAAGCTTTGAAACGTGCAGTAGTTCCTAACATGTGCAGAACAGCTACAGGAATGTGTACAGAGCGAGGTGGAACGAGAGAATTCACGTAAACTAGCACCTGGGATTGCAAACCTTGAGGGCTGCAGGACACAGCGGAAGATCTGGCTCGAAAGGGTACTCGTCGAGAAATCATGAGAATATGGTGCATCTCCAGCTTTCATTTATATCACACATAGTCAGCGCAAAAAACGGCAATACTTGCACGAATGTATTTGACCAATGTCGCTGTTTTGATAAGCGTACCAAAAGCAATATCAAACATATTCTTCAGATCCGCAATAGACTCTATGATCGTGCATGCCTGACGAGTCAAAGAGCACTTGAAAAAAGCGTGAAAGTCTACTCACGCCACTTGGGAGGCATCGACCAGTGGAATGTCAGGAAAAAGGTTTTGTTATCAAATGAACTTCCGTCATTCATCCTTTCCGTGAGCCTTGAGATCATCGCGTAGCCGTCGATGGCATATTATTGGTTCTTTGTTGTTCACGAAATAGAATGGGACGACAACGCTGACGGAATGGCAGAAAGTTCGTGTCTCGGCTCGGAGGTACTGGCATTCGAGTTTCTGCAAATGGCCTAGGCTTAGCATGGTCATAAGCGATAACGGTCTTCTTGTGATGGTGTGATGAAATCCATTTATCGATATTGCGGTCGAGAGGGTGGTGACAACTTTATCAAGGGCAAGGGCAGTTTTTATTGGAATGAAAAAAGGATAAAGGATAGTCTATGGCCTTTAATCAGTCCTTTTTGAGGGACCTCATCCTCACGGACCATAATGGTGTTAATTAACTGAAGCCGGATTGGTAAAAGCTCAGTTACAAATATCGATATGCGATTCGAACCGGTCACCACGCGAGCTACTTGCCACCAATCCACTTTCGCCCTAATTTATACTATTGGAATAGGGTCGCCAAAACATTCCTTGGATTCTTAAACTTAATACTTGCATACTGTCCTCTTCGAACCACGTGACTCTGTATTCCTGGTTCCTGCTCATATGCATCCATCCGAACCGGACGCTTTTCACTGACACGGATCATCGCTGGCTCTGCGACGGCAAAGATTGTTAGTGCAGGCACGAATTTGGTTTGGAGTTCCGCTTTTCTTAGGAACTGAGGTACCTATACATACATACCCGTGATCGTTTTCCATTCTGTGTCACAATTCGGTCATTCAACTCTGCAGAAGTGCCGTCGCGTTCGACCATTCGATGTTTGGTTTCGTCTACTCTCTATTTGTTGTTACAGAACCACTCAGCTTTTCTCGTGTCTATTCCTCCTTCGTTAAGTGTTAGCACCATTCTTTCGACAGTACTCTAGTGAAAACCATGGAATGTCGATCCAGGTCATAATGGATTGAAGCTACAGGTCTTCTTTTTACGAAATCCTGTTGGAAACTCCGTTCCGTGTACTCATTTTCGCTTTTGAATAGTTCCTTTTAAAGTCGGGATAATTCAATGATGCGGAGACCTGGTTAGCTATATTAGCTTCCTATCAAAACAATATCGATGGAGCCTTCCTTCTCTGACGCGATTCTTTGAATGTATACGCACTTTTGAATGAATTGACTTCATACTTCCCGATTTTTTTTTGAAGGCCCGTACGAAGTTGGGTGTCAGAGAAGTTAGCAGTCCATTGTGTGACTAAGGTTTGAGCATTAATTTTTCGAAATGCTCGAGGGAAAATGGAGGCACTTAGGGCAACACACTTGCATCCTTTGCAAATAAGTAACGAACTTTGGTCGAATGTGCTCAAATGCAATATGTTTTTAAGTCTGTGTTATGAGACCATTTCACGTGAAGAATCCTATAAAGAAAAACTTGGGCTCACTGATGGCCTTCTATTATCGCGGAGCAAGCTCCTTAATGGAGACAATGGTAAACACCGTGCCTGATACAACGATATACGTACGTTTACGTTCCTTTGGATCGTAGAAAATCCTTTTATCATTGAACTACTGTAAATTTAATTAACCAGCATTCTTGTGACGATGAACCGGAATGGGTAAGGAAACGATCCTGCTGAGTAGTCTCCTCATTCATAAGAAAACTCAGATGATTCCGTGAAAATCTTTCGAATAGGTCTGAAGGTGAAGATGGGCGGTCGCCGCCGTCTCATTCAGATCAGGTCTCCACTGGGCGGCATTGCGGGCTAACTGTATCCACCGGTATGTGGACGTTACCCATAGGTTAAAGATGAAAGGGTAATGAGGAAATCGACTCCATTGCGCATGAAGCAATCTCGTTCCAGCAAAGCGACTGGAATAAATTGCTTTGTTCCAAACTTATCTTACGCTGGTTTCGAGCACTGAACGATTCAGTCGCTTCCTTCGGTGCGACGATTGCCCTAATGCAACCAGCTGTTGCGATGTGACGTATGTAGTCGCCTTCATTGTTAAAGCAAGAAATCATTGAGTTGTCCCAATTCAATTAAATTTCTATAGAGTAGGAATGAGAATAACTAGAACTAACACACAGCATACCGAACGTCCCAAACCATGACACCTTTTGATTGCAGTCGACATCGGTGTTGAAGGCAGACTCCCCCTTCTAGTCCACAACCTAACGCAATACTCGCCCTGCACGTCTTCTAAGAAGTTGGGCCAACCTTCGAATCTAGTGGCTCCCAGTTAGGACAAGGCAACTTTGCCACTGTGTAATTCCGACATTCGGGCACGGTGCGGCAACGTTTGAAAAAGGGACTAAAGTAGTGCCTGGGGGTCAAGAAGCAGACTGGAAGTTGTACGGCCATACCAACAACATAACGTTGGTTTGGGTTGTATCTCGAACTTTTCACTCCCTCTAACCAACGTCCTATGGGTTCGGCAACTGGAGACCACAGAATGGAACAAAGGAACCCTTCGTGGTTTCGATCCTCACTCTCGTACCTGGCTTATCGCTTTCTTTTCTATGAAAAAACATGAGAAAAGGCTAACTGTTCAAATGGAGTAAGGAAACATTTGGACGAGTTGGCCCATTGTCGTGAATGCATGTGAACTCAAATGATAAATAAATAAATAAACTTGTCGGTTCAATGCATGCCATGTTCTGCAAGTCTTCGTTATCTTTTAGAATGGCATGCTAAACAGTTGCTGAAATCAGCTATCTGGCACCACCCCGTTGATAGGATTATTTTCAGAGAATTGGTAAGATCTTCGGTAGACCGAGTAAGGCCAAATCTACAATAGCAAGCAGTCTGGGAGAAAATGTTGGTGACATCTATATTCGAGTTTTGTGCAACATGACTGTAACACAAACTATTTCAAGCCGATTTTGATTGTAATCTTCACTGTATGGCTGCTTCTTGCTGGATTTTTTCTAGTTTTGATAGGTCTACACTTTGTTTGCAGGCTGCTGTATTCTCGGAAGGTCAGCACGAGTATTTCATTTCAGTTCCTAATAATTTTTGATGGCATTGTTTTCTCTCTACTTTATAATTTCTCTACCGATCAGGGTCAAGCGCACTGTTTGAACAATTCAAACCCATAGCACCGCGAGCGTCATAACCGCACATTCTTAAAGGCACGGTCCACGATAAAAAAGTTACTGAGTTCTTCCTTCAGGAATACTCAGCGCCCCCCATGGGTGGTAGAAAGAACCCTCTCGCTTCCGCAATCTCGGCGCTTAGGGCATAGTGGAGGCCCCGTTGTTGCCGTAGTTCGCGTTCCCGCCCTCGATCGGTGACACGTTAGACGAGTGTTGAGACAATACAGATTGCTATTATTCGTTCTAGGACACACGCACAATCAGCTAATCGCCGAGTGATGAGGCGATGTTTTTCTCCCATTCTTTTTTCCTCTGTTTTTCTTTCTGCTGCCGCGATCCCTTATTTAATTTCCTACTCTAGGGGCTGAANTTCCGCAATCTCGGCGCTTAGGGCATAGTGGAGGCCCCGTTGTTGCCGTAGTTCGCGTTCCCGCCCTCGATCGGTGACACGTTAGACGAGTGTTGAGACAATACAGATTGCTATTACTCGTTCTAGGACACACGCACAATCAGCTAATCGCCGAGTGATGAGGCGATGTTTTTCTCCCATTCTTTTTTCCTCTGTTTTTCTTTCTGCTGCCGCGATCCCTTATTTAATTTCCTACTCCTAGGGGCTGAAAAAGGTGAGCTACCTTTGCTTTTACTAGGGTTTTTTTCGTTTATTTATGCTTATAAGTGAATGAATTTTTGCTTACCATTGTCTGTTCTTCGCACCAGGACCCACACGCGCGCAGTGAAACACACTGTTTAGCTCGTCCAGACGCCCCACTCTTCTTCATTTTTCTGGTTTCTTTCTCGTCTAGCCCCCTTTTTACGGATTTTCGAAGCCTTTTCACTTTGCAAACACCGATGCATGCAGTTTCTTCACCTCAGTCGCCCTAGTTTCGATCTTAACTTCCGTTTTTCATTATAATCCGGATTAGCCAGATTTATCGTGAACGGTGCCTTCAAAGAAACAGAGGAACTACCGTCGTTGCCTATTAATTCTCGCAGTACAGGATGCTGTCTGTTTGCAATTCAGGTCATGCCCATAACCGTTTTTCCGAAATGAATAATGGGAGGTGTGGGAGGTTGGGATCCGCCAGTGCGAGACTTAATTGCGAGGTTGTAATGATTTGACTATATATAAGACGATTATACGACTACTTATGAGCTGCGATGTAAAGAGCATCACTGGTTTGGGTTTCTCTGGGTTTTAGAGCTTTGCCCGCCACTCAAACACCTAAGTAAAGGTAAAACTCAGTGCTTAACGAAGTGACAATAGTTTACCAAAAAAAAACAACCGAAATCGCGGTATATAAAATTATTCAGAGCATGCTGCTCAGTGATCGACGAATACTCTGGACGACATTGTCATTCGGGCTCTGTTTCGTAACGTCACTTATTGGCCTGACATTCTACTCTACTAGCCTTAGCCGAATTCGAGAGGGTGTTGAAGATTTTCCTCTGCAGCTGAACCGTACTACCTCTGGTGAGTTTTCTCACAAAATTCATCATTTCAAAGGCACAGTCCACGATCATTTCGAGGTGAACTTTTTAGATTGAAAGCGGAAGTGTTGATGTAGAGGAGTTCACCGGTAGCGAAGAAACCGACAAAATCCGCCTACTTCAAGCTTTTTAAAAGTAGTGAAAGTGGAGGTTGTACGAGATCACCGCGATTAGAGTGGCATGTAAATGGTGTTTAGACGAGATTTAACTTGCTCCCGTCGTGCAAACAGCTGACTATGAAGCCATGACTGTCCAGAGTTGCCTTTCACTGTCGCTGTGGGTCATGAGAAGTTGTTTGAACTTCCTACATTGGTTCCCTTTTGAATTCTACAACCTCTACAAAGCCATCGAAACTCGTCCACTAGGGGTGTGGCATTCGCACGATACAACCTCCAGTCCGTTATTGTGTCCTATCCAAGACGTTTTCTGTCCATATAGGACGGCAGGTATGGTGTAAGGGGGAGCCTGGCATTCGTACTATAGGAAAAGCTCGGAAACCATTTTTATCGTGAACTGTGCCTTTAAGGTGTATTAGTTTGTATATATCAGTGTGAGGGGAAAAAGTGAGTTGTCAAGTGTGAATCCACTCGATCCTTCGTCCTAGACACTACGGGGCTTATTTACCGTCAGTTTCGATTGAAGATGTTTTCTAGTGTACCTTTAAATTGGGGACATGTGTAACCGCTTACCTTCTCTTCTCCGATGTTTTTTGGAGTAATTATTGTCAAACATGCTTTAAAAATGTAATGTTCATCGTTCATCGTTGATGTGAAAATGACAAATTTCATCAAAAAAGGGGGACGACAATTTTTTCCAATTACTTTTCTGCCGTCAATGTTACTTTAAGATACGTTTATCGTCTATTTTCCGTTTCTAAAATTGCCCTGCGCGTGAAAATTGTAGGAACAGAACAAGCACGAAGGTATTGGATAGTGTTAAGCTTCTTAGTTGATTTCCATTTTTCATCCGTCACATGAATAATTTTTTTCAGATTTCTCTAGATTTGTACTTTATTTGAACGAGACCATAAATTGCCAACACAAAAATGAATATGAAGATCTGCTCAAGGAAATCAACGAAGTGCTAAACGAAATTCATGGAAAAGTGCAGGAAATTAAACGTATGATGAAAGTTGTTGAATTGCGAAAGGTCAGTGACCATTCTTTGGACCAACCTTCACTATGGTATCTTTTGCTGAGAAGATAATTTTATGTTTATTTCTCTCTGCTTACATTTACATCTTACATCTGGAAAATATTCAAGTTGTGCGATGAATGACAAAAAAGAATCAGAAAAAGGACCGTCCTGTCGAAGACAAAAAAAGCGATTGTGCTATGGCTAACAGAATATGAAACCTTTATTGTGTCCGGTCGCCCAGTGCTGGATACGGTAGCTTGCGGCTACCGTATCCTTCCATGGAATCCAAACGTCCTCCTTCATAGTGCGCGATCGGGTGCGGCGAGGGCAACGCGGTTTTCGTGGAGAAGTGCCCACACCCCAAAACTCCAACCGCATGCGATCTTTGAGTAGGGTCGAATATATGGTAAATGGTAAATAAGGGATCGCCATTGCTGGCGACCTCGCGACAATCATCATGTGATAAAATCTATTAAATGCGCTCAATGATCCCTCAGTTCTCCACAGCTCATTCTCTCCTCCAGCAAAATGAACGTTAGCTAATGCCATTCCAATGCCATACTGTTGCCTAGCCGAGTCGAGCCCACCTTTCTCAAGGGAGCCAGAGTTTTGACGAAATTAACGTGGATGAAGATTTCTTCCCTCTAGTGTTTCAATGTAGAGAAACAATGTCTCTAATCAAGCACTTAAATGAGAAGCAATCGTTCTGTAATTAATTTTTTGCCTTTTCTTCATTTCAGATTTTTGATGAATTCGTGCCATTGCTAAACCGAACATTAGATGCCAAAGGTCATGCGAAAGCGTACTCTGAGGAAGATATCAGAGAATTTTTTGGACCTCTCATTGTGAGATTGAATTTCCTTGAAAGCAACCTCTCTCATTGTGAGATTGATTCTCCTTTCATTGAAAGGTTGACGATAATTTTGGTATACCCTTTATGAGATGAAAAGCCGAACTGAAGGTGGAGAGTAATGGCGGAGAACGCGAGAAATACCGTCGATTTTGCGGAAAACAATGCTCCTAAAATGTTGTGAAAATAGAGTTTGTACGAGATTACCATGAAGCAAATAACATGAAACGGGTATTTAGACGAGATTCCAATTGTTGCGATTGCGTAAAGAGCTGACTAAATTAAGCCATAAATATCCAAAATTGCTTTTCACTGTTGTCATGGGTCACGTCAAGTTCTTTAAATTTCTAATATGGGTTTCACATGTGAATTGGTGCAGCCTCACGATGCCGTTGCAACTCGTCCTCTATGGGTGTGGCATTCAGCCGCTACAACATCTGAGCCTTTACAAAGCCTTATCTAGACCGTTTACCGAACTGACAGGCCACATACATATGGTTGATGCTGGACGTAACAGGTTCATCAAAAGGATAAAGGATAAAGTTTTTGGCATTAATCAATCTCGTCTGAGGGATGCGTCCTCACTCGACTTCCATTCAGAATCGTTGTCGCGTAATGAGTGCCTATGTGACCTATACAATGACCTGCACGGCCGGCCGATGTACAAGTCACTGCTTTTATCCTCCCAGACGAGTCTGGTACCAGTTCACCGACCCCGGAGGGATGGATGGCTTGGTTGGCCTAGGCGGGCATCGATCCGAGATTCGAACTTCTGACCGTGCGTGTGATATAGTGCTCCACTTGCCACTACACTACTTCCGCCCATCAGAGGGATACGTCTCAGAAATTATTTTGATCGTGAACGTGATCGTGATGTCTTTAAAGCGATTTATCATTGACAACTGCTCCAATGTGAAATTTGCAGGATGAGCTTGAAAAAAGACTGATAAGTTGTAGAAGTTACATACATGATCTCATGTGGAGAGGTTGGGTCATTGGAGAAAAGGTATTGCATTGTCAATCATTCTCCACATAAGCCAATCGTCTGCCCACTCATTACCTTTTTTTAGTTGGATCAAGGTTTACGAGAACTGGAACAAGACAAGCAAAAGGCTTTTGAAGCGATAATAGAATATAAGAACGCATTTAGCGAAGTGTGTCTTTACTGGCATTGTAAATTCCAGAATTATCTCCAAAAATCTGAATTTTTACAGTAGTAGTTTACTCAATGAATTCAGGCAGTAGCATTCTTCGATGAATCCACGATTAAAGTGCATGAAGAAATCGTCAAAGTCCTTTCTAGAAAGGTGAAATCGATTTCAATTCAGAATCTTAGTGGCGTAGTGAATGCGTATGTGGCATATGGAGAACGTCCGTTGCGCGCATCTGTCGAAATAGCTTACCCCCGCACTTCACGCGCGGCGTCGTACCCGTTGTCAGCTGCGACGTTTGTCAAAGTTCGCGGGCTAATTCGCCGCGTGCGACGGCTGCGGCGTGACCTAGTTTCGAGTTTGACGGACGCGCGCAACGAAGCGCACCCGTGGCATAAACCATGACTTGCGGTGGCCGGCTGATGTACAAATCACTGTTTCATCCTACCAGGCGAGTCTGGTAGTATAACTGACCCCGGAGGAATGGAAGACTTGATTAGCCTGGGCGGATATACGGGGTTCGAATCAATGACTATGCGTGTGTAATAGCTACAGCCACTTGCCATTACACCACCTCCTCCCTTAACTACGAAATTAGTTGGGATAATTATGAAATCGAATGGAAGAATTGCTTGCGGAAAATCCTGAATGATCTTCGGCTCAGCAAGGTTTCATACGTAGCAGTAGCGTAGTTCTGAAATAAAAAAAAATCCGATTTTCATGAGCTATGTTGAACACTGCATCTGAGTACTAGAGGTAATTCGAGACGACAACGAAGGAACCTGACGGCAAAGCAATTTCTTTTTAGAATTGCACTCGTATAAGTGACATCCTTGGCTACACGATTTATTTCCCCATCATTCTTATGATTCTCACTACTGCTGGTCTCGCAGTTATAATTGGCAGGTAAGTGAAATGTACCATTAGTTTGCGACAGAATTTACAATTGCTAATCAAATTCAGCTGGAAATACTATCTCGCAGATGTATTCGGCAGGTGAGTGAACTGCACCATTAGGTTGTAACGGAATTTATCATTGCTTATCAAATTCAGAGGGAATCTCTATAAGACCAACGAGCGTTTCGAATCTTTGAAGTCTCATCACGACACCTTGGTCCGTATGGCTGCATCTGCATTAGCCGGGGCCGGTTATGTTGCGATGGTCATCGGAGCAATATTATGCGTTATAGTGGCGTACGTAAATTACTCTCTTTTCAGTTATTTGTCTGCTTGTTGGAGGAAAGAAAAAGAATTTAGTCGCAATGTGATTTTCAGGTTCTGCTTCGTTATGGCCTTTGCAGCAATGGTTGTTTGCATGGGATTTTTCGTGGACGATGACCTTCGCCTTTTCAATGTAATGTATTTGTTCTCTGCTGAGCAAACTTTTAATCCCTCGAAAATGGAAACCGATTTTCTCCGACATTGACTCACCCATTTGGGTAAACTACAGGGAACCAGGAACCAGAAAACTTTGTGGGTTCAAAACGCAATGACCTTTGCACAAAATCCGATACTCGGAAGGAAATCCTTTCAGAGTGAGTGGGAAGGCAATGCTGAAACCTTAATCTTTTTTGGAAAAACTAGTCGTTGTGAAAATAGAATCAACGAACGTCTCCCAATGGGAAGTGGCACTAGTGCATTGGCCCAGAATATTGGCGTTCTGAAGTCGATGGGGCTCTCCGTTCTTGTGTTGGAGAGTTGACGGTACCGTCGTGTCCGCAGCTATTACCTCAGTTACATAGAGATGAGAGATGAAGCCTCCGACGTTATCATTCTCGTCTTGGAGTGAGCCATCACATAAAATTCATTCAGAAGCGTGTTGACATATTGAATGCGTAATTGGCCTATGCAATGACCTGCGGTGGCCAGTCGAAGTACAAGCTAGTGCTGTGACCCTCCTGAACGACCATCCCCGGAACAACCGTCCCCGGAGGGATGGAAGTCATTTGGTCTGGGTTGATGTCGATACGGGATCCATGCAAATGCGTGTGTGTTAGTGCGCCACTTGCCGCTACATCACATCTGCACTCATGAAAGCCAAGTTTTCGATTTCTTTAGGATGGAGTCCAGGGCCGGTTTCTCCGTGGCTATCCACTGACTTCTCTTACAAGTCAATTGGAGAGCTCATCGAGGTTTATCTAAAGGCGTCAGTTGCACGGAAAGCACTGATGATATTGGGCAACGAAGTGACGACTTCTTTACATTAGATTTATTGCATGTGTCTGGCACATGTGAAGAAAAACACAAGTTGAAACCCAGCGAACAAAAAGATCAACATTGAGCTTATTGCAACAAAAAGTACTTGCAAAATGGGAAAAGGTAATTGCAGATAAAACTGTGGATAAACGTGCTAGGTAGCAGAAGCATAGTAAGAAAACTTTACCACTGACCGAGTCCCAAAAAGTCCTCATTCAAGATAACGCCGCACGATGTTTTTGAATTGTATTATACTTTGTGGTATAGCAATTTTTTTAGTTAGCTTCGAATATTCAGCAACCGCCCTTGAAGTGAAGAACCTGGCTCTTTTACTTGTCCTAGGTTTTGGTACGAGAAGCTTGTTTTTCTCTCCTCTCGTAATAGTGCGTCGAATAGTAAAAAAATCATCAACCTTCACATTAATTTTCCCGGTGAGCATCTTGAAAACGGTTATGAGATCGAGCATTTTCCTCCTGTGAAAAAGGGAATCCAGTCCCAACATTTTATTTCTAATGATACCTCGCGGAATCGATTTGTAGTTGAACCCAAGGACTCGGATCAACAACTTCCTAGTGAAGCTGTTCTGAACAGCCTCAAGTTTCCTGGTGTTACCTTTGGAATGTGGAAAGTAAATAGTAGTCCCGTATTCCAGTATCGGACGAACATAAGTTCTGTAGGCTTCGAGTAAAACACATGGATCCTTAGTGAGTAGACTCCTAAGGAGTAAGTGGAGCCGCCGCTCTGCCTTACTCGATAATGTCGAACAATGTTTGGAAAATGTCAATTTATTGTCAACTATGAACCCTAGGTCCCTGACTTCACTGTTCACGCAAAGCTTGTTGCCATCAATGTGGTAATCGAAAGGGATGATACTAGAGCCAAGGTCTCGACGTCTTTTCTATGGCTAGGGGAAGACCCCACTTCTTAGACCACGTGCTTACAATGTTGATTGCCTCTTGAATTTTCTCTGAGTCATCTGAGGTGGAGATTGGTTTGTAAATCTTCAAATCATCAGCAAAAGCTTTACAGATAACACCTGAGTTTTCAATTAAACTAGGGAGCTCATATGTGTAAATATTATAGAGAACTGGGGACAAAACACTCCCTTGGGGAACTCCGCTAGGTGCTGATCTGACAGCAGAGTATGCCTTACTGATACGAACTTGGAAAGTGCGTCGCTTCAAGAATGGCTCCAACCAAGCCATTATTCTTCTGGGTACGCCTATGTGGCTCAACATTTGTAGTAACTTCTTATGTGAAACCCTGTCAAATGCCTTGGAGAAATCAAAGTAGACGATATCGACCCCTTTCCTGTTATCCAGGTACGTCGTCCAATCATTTACCGCTTCAAGTATTTGGGTGACTGTGGATCGATATCTACGAAAACCATGCTGGCTGCTGGACAATATATTGTTCCGCTCTAAATGCTCAACTAAAACTCTTTTTCAGAATTTTCTCAAACACCCGACAGAAAACTGACGAAATGCTCACAGGTCTATAATTGTTGGCACTCTTCGGGCAACCCTTTTTAGGAATAGGCACAACAAATGCATGCTTCCACCTGTCAGGAACTTCAGCGCGGATAAAGCTTAAATTGAATATGTATTTCAAGGGAGATACAATGGAAGGAAACACTTCTTTTATGAAACAAAATGGAATCCCATCAGGTGTGACTGACGACCTCGATT